CCCCCCCCCCATTTCACCGGCTTCCATCTTCCTCCAACAGGCGGACCAGCTAGTGCCCTACTTCGGCGGCCTGTTCCCCGACGAGCCGCTCCCTAAGGGAGGGTTCATTGACCTGCCGGACAGGCCCGGCTTCGGGGTGACCTTGAAGAAGGACAACTTGACCCGGCCGTACCCGCGCACAGACGAGGAGTCCAAGCGCCAAGCAGACGCCAACATCAAGAGACCGATGCCGCAGACCGCCAAGATGCCTTTCTAAATATCTAAGCTTGCGTAGCTTAAGCTGACACAGTGACAAGACACTCTTTTTTTTTTTTTTTGGCGCCACTTTTATAAATTTCCTTTTCGAAAGTCTGATCGTTTACCTTACTTGTGGTGAAAAATCGAAGTGGAATCCAAAACTGAAGAAGATAGTTGTCGATCTTGGGTGAAACTGACTAGTTTTTTAAAAATAAATTAGAATTCAAATTTCAGAAGAACGCCTTTTTTTAAATGGTTATGCTGGCCAAAAGCTTCTTTATCTCACAATTGCTGTTTTTAAAAAAGGCATTTTGCCAGCCTAGTCTGTGACTGCAGTGATTACAATACATTTGTTACTAGTTTTTTTGTAAGAGTTTTACGGTGCTTGCAAGACGCAACCAGGTTAAATAATATGTGTCGAAGACTGGAGGCCTTTTCTAAACTGCTAGAGAGTAGCAATCAAGAAAAGGAGAGGTTTGATAAAGATGATAATGTTCAATAAGAAAGAAGAAGCAATCTACACCAGAGCGCCCACCAACCACCAACAAGGTAGTCTTGAATTTATTGAAATGACTTTTATAGCTAGATTCCGATATCCCCCGCTCAACCCCACAAAAAAGAGAAGAATATTCCGTTTATTATGTACTGTGGATGGTCCTATTTTTAAAATTTACTTTACATCTTTATATCATGGATTGCGATTTCCTGGACTGGAATATTCAGTACATGTGTACATGCATTCTTTGGTAACTTTCATTTTAAAGAAAAATGTGTGTTCTTTAGCACTTTTTTAGGGGGTGGGTGCTATTTTCGTATACCAATACCACAATACAGTCGAAGTTGTCTAAGACTGTCCCCGTTGTTTTATGCAAGACAAATTCTGAAATTATGCAAACTGTGCCTAAAAATATGAAATTATGCGATTCTGTTAATTTTAACAAAGAATGATAAAGGAAAATAATCAGAAATTATGCAAAAATGATAAAATTTTGCTAAATTATGCGGGGCGCATAAAACTACAGGGACAGCTAAGACTAAGACGTCCATTCATTGTTGAGGAGATGAGTGGTCGTAACAGACAGATTGTTGTCTGAAGGGGTCTGAGAAAAGGGGGAAAAAATGGGGGTTGGAGATGGGAAGTGGCCGTCTGTACGAGCTATTGTCTCACAGTGTGTTTACCCTAGTGTTTTTTAAAGTAGATTTCACTGTATTTTAGGATCTTCCTACAAATAATATTATATTATACATTGTCATGTATTTTATTTTATTTTAAAATCTATTTTTCAGATGCAACTCGCCACTGTGTTAGTTTTGACACGCTCGTTGTGGCTGTAGCCTTTATGAAGTGACAGCAAAGTTACTCTGTGTTTTTTTACTATATGAAATGAAGCTATTGTGTACATACATGTATTACATGAACTCGCATTATTGTTTCAGGTCTCGAGATTTACAAAATTCTGTACATGTACCGTACTATTTTACTAATAGTACTATATAAAGGAAAAACAAAGAACAGTCAACATTCCCGATTCTGCTTTGTTACAAATTAATTACATGTATAAGGACAAGCAGAAAGGAAACAACACAGTTTACCAATAGAACAATAATTATATTGGGTTTTTTTTAAATTAAATATTCATGATTTGTCTCCATTTGCACGATGGAACGTGATTCCCCTTCCCCTGGTCAAGTAGGGGCCTACCTTCGTCTTCCTCAAATTTTTGTGCACTGATTTCCTTTTTGGTAATTTTTATGACAGCATTTGTTTGTGTGTTGTCACTTGTTTCCACGCTACCTATGAGTTGTGTGGAGACATAACGTCCAATATGCACGCAGCTTGTTTTAATTAATTCCAGTAGTCATATATGAGATTAAAAGGGCTATCTCTGCATTTTAGGAACTTTTGAGATTTGGACGTCAACAAAGTTTGTGAATTTTAAATACAAAAGGATATGGAAGCTTTCATCATATATGTATTTTTCTCCAAGAAGAAGGGTTATTTCAAGAGGAAATGACGATCATCATGAAGTGTGTTGGAGATAGAACCCCCAACAAACCATATAAACACAGATAGAATTCTTCATACGGTTATGTATGGTTATTATTGTGGCCATGACGATTTTTCAACTGACGCACTGTAGCCTACATGCTATATTGTTGTAATTGTCGTTACCAACGTTTTTACCCTCCTACCCAAACAATAAAGAATATTTAGAAGATATGGTGCTTCGTGGACCCTGCCTGATGTGATCATATAATTCGTCCCGGGCAGGTGGTGGGAATGTAATTACTATGACTCTTCTCTTGTTTCTGTTTGTATTGATGTTTTAGTTTTAGTAGAGGTTTTACGGCGCTCGCAACTGCATAAGGTCATATGAACGCCAGAAGATTAGAGGTGTTACAAGAGAGTAACAAACAAAAAAAGAAGGGGAGATAAGGACGATAGATGTTTGATAGGAAAGAAGGAGCAAACCACACCAGAGCACCCGCCAACCACCCACCTTGTATTGATTTGAACACACCAATATAAACTTTGTTATGATTTATTAAATTATGAAAATAGAATAGATACTATGAATGATTTCTACAAACGGTTCATAAAAGAAGCAAAGGTGTTCGAGTCTCATGCTGTCAAAAGAATTTGTAAGACGGACAACATTGCACAGATAGCTCTTCTGGAGCAGCTCAGCGACAGGCAAAGGATACAGCTAATTCTTTTTATTTTTAATGTTAGAGGGGACCCTTCATAATTTCATTAATTTGAGTCCAAGTTCTTCTGTTGACTAGTTAAACCCACTGTTGCCTCAAATTTACAAATACAGGTATTTCAAGCATTTTTGTCTCTATTTTCCTACGAGTGTGACTCTACGTTAAATTCTTGTCAGTCTGCTAGTGTTTGAGCGCTTAATCAGCTGTTTGCACAGTATGCTTCCCGGGAAGCTGTGAATGTTTCTGAGTGTTCAGCGGTCTGCTGGGGCAATAATATTATAGTGTATTTTGTAAAGCGCATTCATCTATAGCTTGCTGTCGGGCAGGGATATGCGCTATACAAATGCTATTTATTATTATTATTCAACACAGACAGGTAATTTCAACAGCTGAGAAATTGGTCAAGGAGAAACAATAATGGTCATTGGTTATTTAGTGTAAAAAGCTAGACTGACAGACAAAACCAAAAGGAAAGCAAAGAGATAGGACCTGCCTAAGACACTCTCACTCACAAACCACCAACGAAGAAGAAAGAAAGAAGGGGACAAACCTCAAACGATCAAAGTAGGGCCTACCCTATTGGGCAGTTTTCATCTATTTTTTGTGTTTTGTTTTAGGCTCAACACCTTTTGTCCATTTTAAAAACACATTCCAGCCTGCATTTTACTGAAAAACATTGATCATAGGCAAAAAGAATGTAAATATGCAATTTCCAAGGACACCACAGCTTTGGAAGTCAGCAATTTTGGCCGTCGTTTTCTAGCTATTTTTCCCTCAGTCACCAGGCAACCCCCTACCTCTTTCACTTTCAGTTGCAAATATCTCGACTTCTATTCAAGACAGATGAGTATTTTTTTTTTCTATTAAAAATAAGGCAAATGAACTTCAGATTATAACAATAACTCCATATGCCGAAAAATTGATGAGCACCTGATTCCACCATGTCATGTCACAAGTACCTCAGATAGGTGTCCATGGGGTACCATTCCATCACAAATAGCTTGCTGGGGTGGAAGGGGGGGGGGGGGGGGATTAAGTCCAACTATAGAATATAAATTCCCCCCCCCACCCCCCCACCCCATGCTATCTACTGGGTAATGTTACATGCATTCATTCAGTAAATGACAAACAAATTTGATGAACTGGTTTCAATATTTGTCTGAAGACCATGTGAGTGCTTTAATCCCTGAAAACACAAAAGTACAGAAATAATACAAGGCTTTTATACATATAATAATGATACCTAAGTGGCTTACATGTATATTTGTACATAAAAATAAAGAAATTCTTATCAAAACCATTAAAAGAGAAGTAGACAAAAGATCCCAAAAGGTAAAAAAGAAAACATAACCTGAAAGAGCAGTGTCTTACAACAAGCTAACTTTAAAATAATTTGCCAATTTTTTTAAGGGTCTGAACCAAAATACCTTTTTTGGGGCAACTTTCATTAAAGCTGAGTATATCTCAGGTGAGTATACAGACAAATATTGTTTGACTTTCACCCTGTCTGATTTGATTTGCTTTTTTTTAAAACTCGTTAGATACAAATCGGTACAATGACATATTATTTATATGAAAACAACTTAACCTCCTTCCTCTCACGAGGTGCCAAAAACCTTTAGCCCAGTGATTGTTCCCTTTGCAAAATACCTTCAACAATTGAGTTTCTGGCCGTATATGCTGCACAAAAACAGTTTTTGTATTGTAAGATAAAAGTCATGGAACCCGCTATGAGGAAATACATTAAATGAAAACACATGTGAGGCAGCGTGGTGGAACCAGGCTCTCGTCAATTTTGGGGCATGTAAAGTGGTATCATCTTAACGCTTGTTCACTTGTCTTTATTTGGATGAAAAAAGTATCCATTTATCTTGAATTAACGTCGTGTTATTTGAGAATGAAGGAGGTGGGGGTCACCCGTTTTCAGAGGTAAAATTAGTGAGAAAATGGCCGCCACAGATTAGTTATTTCCTTAGCTTAAGAGTCCGTGGTAACTGAAAATTTACATTTTTCGTGCCTTTAATCAACGCTTTTCAGAAAAATCCACACAGAAATGAGTTTTTTAATGGGCATGAAAGGTGTTGAGTCAAAAAAACAAAATTTGATAAAAATTCACAAACCTGCAGAAAAATGCAAGTTTCTTCACTTTGATTATTTTGACGAGAGCCTGATTCCACCACGCTGTCTCACATATGTTGTTGCACTTTCCCTTTTGCTTTCATTTTGAAAAGTGTTCACATCAAACTGTGCATTTTTTGGAAAAGTGAACCCAAGTGAGACCTACGTCTTTTTAGTGTCACCAGTGTCCTTATGTTTCCTAGCAAAAAATGTCATTGAGTCTATACCCCAAACCTCTGTACTGACCACACCATTAAACTAAATTTCTACTTCTACAACAATAGCACCACCTTCTTAATTTTCAGAGTATCTTCTTAATTTTTCAGAACATCCTTTTTACTTTTCAGAACATCTATTGTCATGAAGAAACCATGAAGATACAAAACACACACAGACCTGCCTATGATGAAAAATCAGCAGCAGATCATCTTTGAGTGCAATACCTGTGAAATGAAAGATTTTCTGACAAAATTATGAACTTTTATTCCAAATATTTAAAATGCGGAAAAATCAGATTATCTGATTCACAATTTGTATTCTGTTGGGAAAAAAAACTGAATCAACACAGTAGTCTACAACATAAATGTTTGCAATACTTTATGACGCAAACTATTTTAGTTCATTTTCAAGAACCCATTTGCGATCTAAAGGCGAAAAAAGAGGAAATTTACAAAATTGGAGATGACCTGTTTCATCAAAAAGCCCTTCAAACATTCCCACAAATGGTCGCTTTTAAGCACAAGCGGGCTTTCCTGAAAAATGGTGTTTTGAGAAAATTGAAGGTAAAGTTTTTGCAACTGGCTTAGTTTCTTTAAAAGACAAGGAGAGTTTTGTCTATAACCAAACAAATATACACATCAATCAAACCAAAATTTCTTCTATAGGTAGGGCAATGCCCACTTTTGGTGTAGGTCAAGATTTCGGGAAACCCCCGAAATCTATGTTAGTATTGTTAGCCCGCTTGTCCTTAAAAGCGACCAAATGTGAACCCACATGAAAAAGGCACAGTAACAAATACATACCAAACAGCAATAAATAACAACAGACAACAAAAGTCTTAACAAAAACCTGTACATGTCATCGGTCAACACAAAATGGAATGAAATATCTAGATCTAGTATCAAGCCATACCATGTCTCTGTCGCACACACACAAAGAAGAAAGAGGGTAGACAAACCTCAGCACTGAACACCAACAAACAACAGACAAGAACTTAATTACCTTTACTTTTACTTTACTTTTTACTTTTCCGATCCAGCGGCCATTTGGGTTCTAGCCCTTCGGTCTGTCGATATGGCAAAGAATTGACAGGTTTTAATCAGCTGTGCTTTGTATTAGCTTTAATTAAGTGGATTTCATTAGCATCGGCCACAAACATACACCAAGTGAGCGAGGAATGTACAGAAAAGAAGTCTGTTCACTTAAACTTCAACACCAACAAGAAGTGCAACTGCCCCACTGGATGGGTAGCCCTCTCACTTACTCTCAGGAGTATGAGTGGTACCTTTTCTCCATACCTATTACTCTCCTGTCCAAGAACACATGAAAACCAATCTGTTGAGCAAGTGTCCGATCCAGCTGCAGCAGCCACATACGACAAACATAAATAAATTCAACCAAGCCAATAATAACCCCCACTTCAATGTAATTTCTCTCTTACCAAGATTAAGCTCTATACAAGCGAAATTATATGAGTTGGATCTTGCACCCCAATGCCATTTGACAGAATGACCGTAGCTAAAAAGCTTATCAGTACAAAACATCAACATTTCATAATATTCTGAAAAGTAAATCCCATACTGCTGTCAGAAGAACGCTTACTTTCTATCTTCACATGTTCGTAGGTAAAGACAAAGCACGCCACTAATCAACAGGAAATGTGAAAGTAGCTTCTTGAGGCATTTTAAATGAAAAAGTATAGCATGCTGACGCTAAATCCAGGAAAACGCTAATTAGTGAAAATTAATCATGTTCCTTGTCTCTCTTTAGTCACACCAGAGAATACATTCTATTAAAAATAAACAAAAAAACCACATGTGCAAGCCACATAATCTTATTCAGACTTTAAAAAATCTGCTAATAAAACTGATTGATATGGGGGGGGGGGGGAGATTATGCAATCCCAAGCTTAATACCAATGTCAGGTTTTAAGTTATATCACCAACAATACCCAAATACAACCAGAGGTTCAAAATAGTTGTGAAAGATCTATAATTTGCCTCCAAATCTTGCGTTTCTGTTTACAAAGCAGTCAGTAAAAGAAAAGCTGAGAAGGTCTTTTCATCATTAAACACACTCTTTTTGCTTGTCAAAACCACAAAGGTAATAGTAAACTTCTGCCTCCCATTCTTACAATAAGTTAAAAGAATTTGTCCCACATGATGTCCTGGCAGCCCAAATGTGGCCCTACTGAGAAGGGATACTCTGGATGAGCATAGTAAGGTCAAGTAAATTCTCAGTGTAGGGCTTACGTTTACTTTTACCCTTCCATTGGCCAAAATGTTTGCATCTTGAAGAAACATGTTCATGGTCATTCAAATTTTCAAACAGCCATTTTTTTAAAAAGTTATACCATTTGTAAATCTGCATGGATCACATGCAACACTGATGTGAAATTATAATTGCACAAACATGGGACACCTGTAACTTTCTTTCAGCAGATATGATGAGTCAACCAGTCTGTTCTTCTATAACAAAATATAAAACAATGTATCACTTGTCAGCACATCTTAGGACGTCACGTTGCCTGATCTGCGTCTGTTACTGCGTCTGAAAAGACAGATAAATGAAGGGAAGAGTGAGCAAGAAAAGGGTCTATTTAGGTATTGCAAAAGCAGAACAAAAATAGTTTGCTAAACTTGTCTCTAAAATGAAAGATGTTCCAAAAATATTTATTACATTTGATATATGCATGTCATTCATCTTAGAGACTTGTCTAAATATCTGTTTGTTTTGTTTGTTTAGTATAGGGTTTTACGGCGCTCGCAACTGCATAAGGTCATATGAGCGCGCGGGACTCACCTAATACATTTTCGTTGGTAGGAAATTTTGAATTTTGCCCGGGTGGCGGCCGAAGCCTACTCTTATCGATTTTAGACCACCAAGGGATCTTTAAGGTGCGCAACTTGCACACGGGCCCTCCGAGATTTTTCGCCCTTGTCCGAGAAGGCTAGGTGTAGATCTTTCCTACCAGAAGATCAGGGGTGTGGCAGAAAGACAGCAGTTAGGAGGAGCCAAGGAGTAGCAGTAGAAAGGCTGCAGAAAGAGTCAGGAGCCCAGAGGAGGGGGCAAAGGATGTGAGGGGGTGGGGGCAGAAAGTGGAAATGAAAGCAGACAACAGAACATTGTTAGAGATCAGGAAAGGATGTGAATGGAGACAATTTTAGAGAAGAAAAATGTTTTTGGTCGCTACCCGGAATCGAACCCGGGACCTTTGAATGAGAGGCCAACACCTTAACCTCTAGGCCACGAGAGCCCCCTCTAAATATCTGAGGTAAGCAAGATGAAAATGGATTCATTTCATCTAATCCCATTTCTTTTGCCTCATCAAAAGAAACTCTTCAGAACGAAAACAAACCTAATTTTTAAAAAAATTAGAATCCATTCTGAGAGAAAAACTGATCAAAATACCAGAACACAATTTTTCACCAATGTATTTCATCTGTAACTTGGTCAGTTGTAAAATAAAATTTTAAAAAATAAAATTTTAAGCCTTCGTGCCATGATCAACCCAGACAACATGGAAAATAACCCAGTAGAAAAAGGTAGATACAACATGAATATTTTCCCCACCTCGGAATCAACACAGTCCACAGTGGCTCAGATTGCTCTGAAGCAGGGACATAAATCATAACTCCGGAGAAAAGCACAAAAAGTACAGTGGAACCTGCGTAAGATGGCCACCCATTGACCAGGAGAAAGGTGGCCATATTAGACAGGTGACCGTCTGAGGCAGGGCTGATCAAAATGAAGAAAACAAACCATTCCCTTCTGAGATCCCAACTGTAGGTGGCCACAGGCATAGGATCGCCATAAGGCTAAATCTCCCCCCCTCCCCTATGTTTTTATTTTCATTTTGAAGGGGGGGGGGGGGGGAATGAAAGCTTTTTCAATGGGGTATTTCGTAGCTTGTTTGATGGGGGGGGGGGGGGGGTTTGTTGCTGGTTTTGTGAAAGGGTAAAACGAAACGAAATGTGTAAGATGAGGAAGACCAAGTGCCATGATAAAACAAACAAATGGGTCACCAGCACTCAGCAAACACGCGACACTTCTGAAGTTCTGTTGTGAGTTCGTATTGTCATCCATTGCGACGGACTGGGTAAACAGAGCAACAGCTCATCTCACTTACGATTTGTGTACGAATTGTGGGCGTGGCTTACAGGTTATGACAGATCACGTGCCTCCCTTACAAGCAGCTGAAAATTTGTTACCAACTGGTCGACTCGGGTAGACAGCAGGAGGGACCTATGCCACAAGATCGGTTCATTCATTGGAGGGAATAACAATAAAGACCGCTGAATGAATTCTGACTGCTCTTTCAAAGCATTGGGGTCGATATATAAATTATGACAAAGCATCAGGTGATGAGGGATTTGCCTAGCCATCTTAGACAGGTTGACAGGTTTTTGTGTAGTTGGTTGATAGAATATAGTGGCCACAGCTGCATTGGACGTGTTTACGCACTGCTGTTATATTTAGAAAAAATGCAAGGGCGGGAGGGAGATGGAAAGTGACCATTTGTACAGGTGGCCACACTATACATGCGTCTGTCAAGGCAGGTTAGATTGCATATATATCCTATTTTATACAGAACACCTTAAGCATAAAAAAAGTAAAAACATATTACATTTTTTTACAAAGACCATTAGTTCTTAGAGGGCAAAAGCTTTTTATAGTGTAACAAATTTAATTTTCATCACTTTTGATTGCCTAGACTCAGGATCAATAACTTTTGTCTGCCAACAAAAAGATTGGGTCTTTAATTATTTGACCATAATTTATAATGCCAAGGATAAAGAAACTCATGGTAGCAGGCTGTATCTTTTCCATAACTTCATCGCAATTTGGTCTTTTATTGCTGTGTCACAGTAGGTCACACCTGATCTGCCACTCAGAGGTCAGAGGTTTGAGTTTAATGGCCCGGTTACACGTAACGATAAATTATACAAAAACTGGACGATATAGCGATCATGCGATACAACGTTAGGTGTAAGCACAAATTTAACAAAATTTGGACGATTGAACGATGGTTTGGAGACTCGGTCGGGAAATCAAGCACTGCTTCATATTTTCCGTGCGATCACGGTCACACTTGAGGGAAACGCGCTGTGACGTAGATTCACTTTGAAATTTGCCGCCGCACAGAGCTAAACTCAGGACTCAATTATTTAAATAATTATCGTAGGCAAAAATTGATTTCATATTCGGAATCAGCATCTCAAAATAAGCCAAAGTTGCTCACGGAGACCCTGATTAGGTGCGTTATTATATATATTTTAGCAATTTTATTATTTAGTTGATCATCAAGGGTGAAGCTACACATCAAGGTCACTCTGTGCGTTGCACATCTGCTGTCAAGTCATAGCTTCCGGTTCCACACACAACACCGTAGGCCTACAGTATGGCCACCCTTTTCTAAAGACACTGTTCTGCTAAATCAAAATGTACAGGGGAAAGGGGGGGGGGAACTTTCGTGATCTAGAGGTACAGTGTTCGCCTTTCATTCATTAGGTCCATAGGTCCAGAGCTCGAAACCTTCACATAGAGTGCAGGCAAATTGCTGTCGTTGCAAAGAGACATGGTGGCTTTATAACGAGGAATCTTATCAATCGAAAGAAAACTTAATGATAGATTAGAACGTGTAAACAGACAACACAGTTCGATAAAACAGAGAGTTCTCTCATACAACGAATCTGATACAATTTGCGTTGCTTTTAACCAGGGCTTAAACAATGTTCCTCCTCAATTCTGAAACATTTCCTCTTTTCCTGGTGTATCTTTGTATATTTACAGGCGTCTAGCGGCCTCATCTTTAAATAAACCCATACTTGTCTGATAGAACAAACAATCTTCAAAAAATAATTACAATAATGGTCTTTTGTAAAGAAAACGCACACACAAAAACAAGTCGGGTGGGAGTGCACAGGGACTCAGGAGTTACACAGGATCTACTAACAGCTTACCTTCTCAAAGGAATCGAGTCTGAACAAAGAAAAGCCAGTCTCAGGCTATGCAAAGTGGGAATTTTCAAATCTTTGTTTGTTACCTACATTTTAGCATAGCCGGACATATTGGCCCCTGGAAACTACTGACTCAATATTTCATAGTTTTCAATAGCAGTCATCCCATCACATAATACCAAGAAGAAATAATAAAGTAATATCCTTTCTATAAAAGCCATCAGCTCTCAGGCTCCAACCCTTCTGCACATTTTTACTCAATTCTAGGTAGTTTGACATAATGTAGTGCTACAGTGATATTAAACTCCTTTTTCCTATTTTCCTGTTAAAACATTAGAAGCCGCTGCTGTAAAGTAAGAAGATGCAGACTTCAGATTGGCAATCTTAGCTTTGAGGCAACAGTTTCATTATTACTTACTGGATGGCAGCTATAGAACAGGCTGGCAGAGATGATTATTTTGAAGTCTTCTGAACCCTTTACTAAAAAAAGCACAAAACTATGATAACCTCATCAATATTTCATCATTATCATTCGCTTATTTCTATGGGACCATCAACATTTACTTTAGATCCAACTTGTCTACAGAAGAACCTGCTTACTTTGACTTCCTCCAAGACCAAGCTGAGACATAAGGCTTTTCACTTGGTTCTGAAGCTTTTTGAATTCCTGAGAAGGAAAAATAGACAAAACATGAATACAATACAGTCAACAATCCATAGATCCTTTTTTTTACAGGAAATATACACAAAATATTAGGAAAAATACGGTTGACTTAAGGAGTTTTTAAAAAAACCTGTTGACTTGAGTTTTTTAAAACATTGGATAAGCCCAAAAAACAACTCTTGACCAGCATCTGTGAGTCAATTATCTGTCAGCTAATTAAATCAGCAGTAGGTTTTATTCTGTGGTATTACTGGTATTGTCGCCAAGTTAAGCGGCCTCAAAAAATAATTCTGGGTCATTAAATTAAGGTCAATACATATATAAACAAATCGGTAGTTTTGGGGGGTTTTTCTAAAAAAAAATATATAGGTTTACAGCCTTAACCTGCTTGGTTAGCCTGTTCTCAAGCATTTTCCAACAAAATGTGAAATATATCATTTCCCCTGACACCATAAGCTATTTCGCTACCACCGAACTACAAAGGTCTATCAGCGCAGTACCTAGTATGGAGAAATGTGACATCAAAGTTTTTGAGCTTCACGTCACGTCAAGCTTTTTCTAAAGCTATTCTTTGAATATCTTGATAATGACTCTGAATAATCTAACCATTTGGATAGAGCAGAGAGAATATTTGGTTTCTGACCTCATGGTCTTAGCAACTAAAAACGGGCAAAAATGTCAGATAGAATTTTGTAATTCTGAGGTAGCTATTTGTCAGTGACACTAGTAGTAGGGTTATGGAAGGATTCAATAACTACAGCCTAATCCTCATAGAATTCACATGAAACATCCACTACATGTTAATGTTAAAATTGACGTGCATTCATATCATTTTGAGTATTAACATATTTGAGTATGAACATATTTGAGTACATATTTGAGTATTAACATATTTGAGTATTAACATATTTGAGTACAAATTTGAGTATTAACATATTTGAGTATTAACGTATCAAAAACTTTTCCAGGACACGACAATAACGACAACAACCACCTGTGGTGCACATTTTAGTAGAAGTTTTACGGCGCTCGCAACTGCATAAGGTCATATGAGCGCCAGAAGATTAGAGCTGTTACAAGAGAGTAACAAACATAAAAAAAGAAGAAGGGGAGATAAGGACGATAGATGTTTGACAGGAAAGAAGAAGCAAACCACATCAGAGCACCCGCCAACCACCCACCATGTGGTGCACAGGTCAGAACGCTCTCTGCCTTGCATGGAGAGTAACAGAGTTTGACTCACATAAGGGGAATATATTATAATTTTGATCAAATATCTTCATCCATCAGCTAAGATATACATCTGCACAACCCCAGTTAGCCCTCACAGGTAGGGTTAAAACAGACCTCCTTCTAAATGTTGTAAATCATGGCAACAGGAGATGAAACATTCACAAAAAGGAGAGAGCCAATCAACATTCCATCTCTCAAGAACTTACCGCTTTGCAAGAATCTAACGATTCAAACTCTCCTTCTTTCACCTGTTCTTGTTTCACTTCCTCCGCCTTCTGGACCAAACTTTTGTGGCTCTCCTGAGTCATCAGCAGCCCTGCCTTCTCCAGGATTTTTCTCAACCTTTTCTTGTATCCCTGAAACAAATATGTGAGGCAGCGTGGTGGAATCAGGCTCTCGTCAATTTTTGGGCATGTAGAGTTATAGGTGTCATCTTAAAGCTTGTCCACTTGTCTTTTATTGCGATGGAAAAAGAATCCATTTATCTTGAACACAAATCGAGGTATCTATGAAAGAAGGAGGAGGGGGTCACCTGTTTTCAGAGGTAAAATTAGTGAGAAAATGGCAGCCAAAGGTTAGTTATTTCCTTAGCTTAAGAGTCCGTGGTAACTGAAAATTTAAATTTTCTGTGCCTTTAATCAACGTTTTTCATAAAAATCCACACAGAAATGAGTTCTTTAATCGGCATGAAAGGTGTTGAGCCAAAAAACAAAAATTTAATAAAAATTCAGAAACCTGTGGAAAAATGCAAGTTTCTTCATTTTGATAATTTTGACGAGAGCCTGATTCCACCACGCTGCCTCACATATTTATATGAAATCAATTCAACATTAGTCTCCTCTGGGAGTTTTACACATAATATGTTGGGGTTATTTTAGATAAAAATCAATAACAACTTACAAGACAAAAGCAAGCTTTCCAAACGGAACATTATTTCCTTTTTGACAAGACAAAAAGGCTCTGAAATAATAAAAATGTGAAGACGTAAAGCTTCAAAAGTTCAAATTTCAGAAGGCAATGCAGGCGGGCAAAAATTTCCCATGATAAATTTTTTAAACTTCTTCGTTACTTTACATTCCTCTTTTTCTTCTATCTTTGGTTGAGATAATCCAGTCGTTTATAACTCCGTTGTAGAGAATTTGATTTATTGAGTATTTCTGTCTGTCTGATACGAAGCTGTATCCCATTCAGCCTCGTTTGATCATGATTTGTAAGGTCAAAGCAGCCACCTGCTTACTTTGCTTTTCTTTACTTTTCCGATCCAGCGGCCATTTAGGTTCTAGCCCTTCGGTCTGTTGATATGGCAAAGAATTTGCAGGTTTTAATCAGCTGTGCCCACCTGCTTAATAATCTAAACTGTCGAAGGAGGCATAAAAATATTTACAACCGATAAAAAAATTTCTTTATTGACTTATTATATTCTTCTTTTTCCTTTTTTCTTATCTTCGAAGAAAGTCATATCGCTACCTCAGAATGGCAAAGTTCTATCTGACTTTTTTGACCACTTAGAGTTACAAAGATTATGAGGCCAGAAACCCAACATTTTATCAAAATCGTAAGATTATTCAGAGTCGTTATCAAAATTTTCAAAGAATTGCATTCGAAAGACCGTGACTTGTTGTGAAACTCAAAATTTTGAATGTCAAAATTCTCCAAATTAGGTACTGAGCAAATAGGACTGGGTAATTCTATGGTAGCCGATGTCAAGATCACCAGCTGAAAATCAGGTATGGCAACAAGTAAATATAAAATCTCACGAATTACTGATTATAATATCAAGATAAACTCCAGCTCTGGGCATCTTTACAAGCCTCCAAGGGACCTTACCTTGTCTGTGAGTTCCCCACGCGCTGCCTCCCCTTCCAGCTGGTCCCAAGCCTCCTGGAGCTCAGGGTCAAGGGTCGGGTAAACCAACATGGCGTCCGCATGACACACTAGGGGGCTCTTGAACACCAAGTGGTAGTTGCATTTCACCGGCTCTGATACATCCACAATCTTACTGGCATTGCCGCACTCAAAGGATACCTGGACATTCAAACGGTTTGGTTGTTTTTCAGTAAAGAGAATCACCCTCACAAAATAACCACTATATAGTGCCGGAAAAGAGTTTGGTTTCAGTTTTAGTAATGGTTTTACGGCACTTGCATCACAATCAGGTCATAAAAGTGCCAAAGATTAGAGGTGTTACAAGAGAGTAGCAAACACAAAAAAAATGTAGAAGAGATAAGCACGATGGATGTTTGATGATAGGAAAGAAGAAGCACCCACCAACCACCCACCAGACAAGAGTAAAACCAACAGAAACAAAGGAGGGGGGGGGGGAATAGGTACTTGAAAGAAGAATACCAAAAAAAATGTTAATTAACGTATCCTGGATTTCTTCAAGTTAAAAGGAAAAAAAGGAGAGGGGGGGGGGTGTCTTTAAAAATACTGTTCTTTGTGAAATTTATTTATAGTACCTAAAAAAGCATTGTTTCTTTTACCCACACTACTGCCATACCAACACTATCCATCCACCATGTAAATTGAAAAGCTATTCATTCTGAGCTTATGCTGTATTTCCCCTCAATATCTCTCAAATCACAAAACAAAGGAAGCAAGCTATAGAATCTTTAAAAGACGTAACTTTTTAGGAAGATACAAAAAAAAAAAGCTTTTATTCCTAAACTGAGTCTCACATATGATACATTTTCTACAAAAAGACAACGAACATAGCTCTGTTGTAAGCTGACAAAACGCCTTTTTTTCATTTTGGCGACAAAAATTTTTATTTACAAAATCGAAAGCCTGATCAGTAACTCTACCTGTGGGAAAAAATCAAAGTGAAACTGTGACAAGTTTTTGAATAAATTAGAATTCAAATGTCGGAAGCACTCTATATTTTTCAATGGTTACGCTAACAGAAAAAACTCTATTTCTCGTAACTGCTGTGAATCAAAAAAGGCGTTTTGTCAGCTTACGGCAGAGCCTCTCTTGACCACCCGCAAAATATGAACACAAAAGAAAAAATTAGAAATTAATTAAAAAGATATTTAAAAAACTTCTATCCACCCACTTTGACAGAGCGGAAAAGGTCTGTGCCACAGCTGTCTCCGTCCTTCATCAACATGGCCACAAAAGTGTTGTTCTCCACCTCCCATTCCTGCCACACACTGAAATAGCAAAGTCAGGCAACTCTGGCTTATACTGAAAGATGAAACAACAAACACTAAAAAACTTACGCTGTCACCATGAACAAAAAAAATATGTTGCAACGTTAAATAAATGGACTTGTTGCAAAACCCTGACGAAATCAACGTGTTGTTATCTTTAACTTTAACCAAAAGGTAGGTTGTAATAATCCTAAAAACATATTGTAATAATCATGGACCATTGGATGTATCGTTACCAGGAGCACATAAATTAAACCTCTCACGTAAAAAAGATTTCCAATCATTCAATCAGGCCACCTCAAGCACGTATCTTTCACCACATTTGTGTCATTCAAAAAGTAAAACCCCTAAATCAGGGGTCTCAAACTCAGATATTTTGCGGTCCCTACTTGACATCAAAGTTTAGTGTCAGTGCAGACTTCCCTCAAACTAAACGTGGTAGAGCTATGGTAGGAAATGCTGGCAAGTCTGACAGCAAGGAGTAAGTAACAGAAACCTAAGCACTCTGAGGAAACAATTCTTCTTCTGAACTTCTATTAACAAAGACTGAGAATTCTTTTTAAATGCCTAAAACCTTTTCTTTTGTGCAGGAAGGGGGGGGGGAGATGATTGATGTGACTCAGGCTCATCCAGACTCTACCTCCTGCAGTGCCTAGACAATTTTGAATTTGAGTCATCTGCTCTAAATCCAAAGCTATCCACAACTGGACCTGCTTGAGACACTTGAAAATTCTTATGTCCAACATATCTTCACAGCATTGTCTCGGATAGACATAGTCACACTGCAGAATATGTGCTCTTCTTTTCCTCATATAACGTCATGTGACTCATCTTCCCCAGACATGTGGGCACCTACAAGTTTAGTTTGCTGGGATCAAAGTGGCAACAGGTATGGAACCTACTGTGGCGTCGGTGGCCTAGTGGTTAAGCTCTCGGACTCGCAACCGTAAGGTCGTGGGTTCGAATCCTGTCAGGGGCCCGACGTTGTATCCTTGGGAAAGGCACTTTGCACAAATTTTCCTCACTTCACCCAGGTGGAAATGGGTACCCAGCTATAGACAGTGAAAGATCTTGTCAGTTTGATAGTGTTGGAGCGCGTGAAATCTGCAGCTTGCACTGTATGCTTCCGCAGAAGCTGAGAATGTTTCTGAGTGTTCTCAGAGGGTCTGCTGGGGTAATAATAGTTGTAAAGCGCATAGAGCAAGCTCTTGAGCATGGATGCGCTTATAAATGCAATTATTATTATTATTACTACAGTGGCTTTTCTGAGGACACGAGCACCACACCACAATCCTTCCCAGGGGCAACTCACTTCACCTGCAAAATATTTACTAAAAATATAGGGTAAGGAGAAAAGAGCAAAGGGTAACAGACTACACTACAAGCAGTAAAGGCAAGAGACACTTACCAGTCAACAAAATTGCTCCCCCAATTCAAACTTGAGGCACTCAAAGCTTAACCTAATGGACCTGAATGCGTGCATGCCTCAGCGTGACCATTTTTTTACCCCTCTGCGCACCGAGCACACACCTGAGGGTACATAGGCGTATATCTACCAGTCAATGTACAGAGCTCAGAAGCACAGATTTGGTGGGCTCAGCTCAAAGGGTCAAAGCACATTCAATAAAATGGTTCCAGAGGAAACTCTGCCATCCCAAGGAAGAACAACTTACATTGTATCTGACAAGATCAAGTGGTTTGGGTTTTTTTTGGTTTTCTTGTTTTATTACATTATTCTTCCCCATATCCTTGAGCTAAATGAAGGGCAGCATATCTACATCCAAAATAGTAGTTTTCAAAGTGGAACTTGGATTTACTTGGATCCACAGCTAGAATCATAGCAGGCGGCACATGTCCATAGCTGCTCATCTCTCCTTTCCAGCGTCCACCTCAGGGTCTTCCTGCTAATTGTCTCCATGAGGAGCTGGTTTGAGACACGTCTGACCACTCCTCGGAGCAAAGTGGTAAATCTACATAAGTAACAGATCTCAATGATAAGAGTTGGGCACGTTTTTCTCAAAATCATGAAACATGCAGTTACGTCGCTCTGCCTTTGGATGGTAGAACTAGTGGCCCACTCACCCTAAAACACCATTGTATGGGTTCCAGTGCACTCCTTGCTCATGTTGGGTGATGTTTGAGAATGGACAAAAGTTGTACTTGTAGCTGGGGGTAGAGGAAACATGTCAGTTAGACAGCTTTGTCAACAGCATAAATGAGAGTACAATCAAACCTGTCTAAGACAACCAGCCACTGTCAAGGAAAAAAGTGTCCATCTTAGACAGGAGACTGTCTTATACAGTGTAATTGTAATGTAAAAAAATATGCACGGGGAGGAAAAGGGAAGTGGCCGTTTGTACAGGTGATTGTCTTATACAGGTGACCGTTAGAGCAGGTTCCACTGTACCATAAACAGTATTATGAACATACATGTGTCATGCACATAATAACACAGGATAATACTGGTTCACGCATCATAAACATCGTAATGACGGTATCATAAACAGCATTACAAAGGAATCAGAAACTATTAATGGTAACATTAATACCAGTATGACATTTATCTCCAGCATGAAAAGTTGAGTAAAATATTTTTCAATCACATATGGGGACATTAAGATTAAACTTTATAAGAAAAGAATGTTGACAGACCTCTTCATTTTCACTTTCGTCGGACAGCATTTTAAATATATAGTAAATCCCCCGCTATTCTCCTTTATAGTACACATAAAAGACACGGTATATGGCCCAAATCCTTTCATGTGTCTTTGTTTGTTTTTGTTTTTGTAAAGCGTTTTACGGTGCTCGCAACTGCATAAGGTCCTATGAGCACGCAGGCCACACCTAATATTTTCAGTTGGTAGGAAATTTTGAATTTTGCGCGGGTGGCGGCCGAAGCCTACTCTTATAGATTTTAGACCACCAAGGGATCTTTAACCTGCGCAACTTGCACACGGGCCCTCCGAGATTTTTCGCCCTTGTCCGAGAAGGCTAGGTGTAGATCTTTCCTACCAGAAGATGAGGGGTGTGGCAGAAAGACAGCCAACGAGTAGCAGTAGAAAGGCTGCACAAAGAGTCATGAGCCAAGAGGAGGGGGCAAAGGAGGTGAGGGCAGAAAGTGGAAATGAAAGCAGACAACAGAACATTGCTAAAGAGCAGGAAAGGAGGTGAAAGGAGAAAATTTTAGAGAAGAAAATTTTTCGGTCGCTACCTGGATTTGAACCCGGTACATTTGAATGAGAGGCCAACACCTTAACCTCTAGGCCACGAGAGCCCCCCACGTGTCTTCAAATCAGCCATTTCAGAACAAGGAGAGTAATATGAGAAAAACATTTAACTACAGGTTACAGCATGAAAAAGTTCCGTAAATATTAATTAAGGTCTTTTTTAAGTTACTGAAGTTGAGTTTTCTTTTAGTATGAGTTTTACAGCACGTCTAACACAATAAGGTCATATAAGTGCTAAAAGATTAGAGGCCATTCCCAAATGGGATACATTAACATGTTCTTATGTACAGTTGAATTATATATATATTATTGTAAATGGGCTGATTCATCAATGTCATGCTCATAACTATGCCTGAACTGCAATAGGGAACTGCTGCTTTTCTTTCCTAATCCTTACTATCGTCATTTTTCCTCTACTTGTTTTGTATGTTTGTCCCACTCATGTGATCCGTTATTTCCAGGGTGCCTTGATAGTTGAAGCAGACTTTGAGCTGTTGAGGCTAGAGAGGTGAGCAGAGTTTGCCTGATTCCCTGTATGGACTTCTTTATTGACATCCACCCCTTGGCGCTCATATGACATGCAGTTGCGAGCATGAAAAACTCTTACTAAAACTACTAAAATTAAAAGAGGTGTTACAAGAGAGTAACAGACACACAAAAGGAGGAGAGTTAAGGACAATGCATACTTGACAGGAAAGAAGGCGCATACTATGGAACATTACAGTAACAGCAGAATACCTGCACTAATCACTACATGGCATTTGACAGAAGGGCAAGGGCCCAGCTGTTGCTGGGACGATAACAATAAAAAAGGAAAGAAGGAGTAAACCACATTAGAGCACCCACCAACTACCCACTTTAACTCTTTATCTCCAGCAAGCCACTCCCAGCAGCTCATCGTCAGAATCGCTGTGCCGATGAGCCGCTGGTAGCCGCTTAGGCACATTCCTTTACGATGACGTCGACATCAAATTACTTTTGCCGAAAACAGGTCTCTTTTATCGGGGTTTTGTTCATTAGATGGAGACTTTTCACAATAGCTTCTTTTGTTTTGATTTAATGACCAATTTAGTGACGTTTTTGTCATTTTTAGATTTAGTACCAAAAAAAAGGACCTCCGCATTGTGGGTCTATCCCCCTCGGAGTTAAAGAGTTAAGTTTCTGCCCAACAATGCACATTTTGAAATTCTGCGGAAAGCATCCAGAACAAAAACGAGACATACTCTGCAATAATAGAGTTGAAGCAGCGGCCAACGAGTCGTCTGAAGTGAGGTGGGCCCGAAAAATTGGCCGGCTGAACTCTCAGTTTTAGTGTCGACTCCTGTGCAGCGCCACCCTGACCGTACGGATAGTTTATCCTGAAACAGACAATTGAATGCATTAAGAGTAACTGAGTAAACTGAGCTTTGGTGCCAATATATACAGTCAAACCTGCTCTAATAACTACTTGTATAGGACAATCACCTGTGCAAGCAGCCACTTCCCAATTTCTCCCTTGCATTTTTCAAATTACAATGGCACGGTGTAAGACAGCTACCTGTCTAATAAGGCCATTTTTCTCCTAAACAATGGGTGGCCATGTAAGACAGTTTCGACTATACTTAAAATAAGCTTTCAGTTCCCAGCCTCTGTGATACACAGCACACATCAAAAAGTGCAAACCCATCTGTGTCTCTTCAGACTGGATACATGAATTTAATATCAACAACAACCAAAAGTAAATATGGCAGGCCAAATAAGACCCAAATTTATAGATCCTTTATTTTTACAAAACAACAATGCAATATCACCAGCTCTAGCAGCAAAAACATGCACACAATGACATTCTCTCTCCCTGCCAGATCCATAACAATGCAACATAAGAAATGAAATGTAACAGTGATCATGACAAAAATTAATAACTTATCAAATCTGTCATCCCCTATATTATGCAAACTTGATAGAGAGGAATTTTAAGAGAGAGCACCCTGTATGCTGACAATGTTATGTGTGTGGCATCATATTGAAATCAGGCGCTCGTCAAAGAGGTGTGTTTCATGAGGTTACTGGCATTGGGCTTTTTTTCCCTACTTCTCTTTCTATTCTTTCATGTGTTCTGTGCGACTATTCAGCAGATTAAGCAAGCTGTCAATGTTGAAGAGAAAGCACAATGCACACACAGCCTGCAGCTCAAATTGTGGTAAGCAAAAGAGGGAGATCAGAAAATCAAAATCAAATAGCTCACCCAAAAGAAGACGGCTCCTCTACAATCTTCATGTTAACCATTTCACCTTCCACTCCTGCATAACGGTAAAAACAAACAGTAAATAGTAAACATGAAAAAAGGCATATTTTGGTACAAAAATACATAATGTGAACAGAGCAATTTCCCACTTCTCCAGAGTGTCCCTTTTTTGACTACAGTGCAGCCTGTCGATAACGACATTGTCGCTACAGAGAGTTGTTGTTATAGAGAGGCAACGAAAAATTACTGTACGATACATTTTTTAAAATCAGGACCTGGGCACCAGGTCGCTATACAGAGGATGTCGTTATATCGAAGGTCGTTATAGAGAGGCTGCACTGTATAAAAATATGTCAGCATAATGGGAAAATGTAGAAGGCCTCTCTAATATTGTTGCCAGATGTACACACATAGAAGTAAAGAATGTTAGCAGCAGAGAGGTGGGAAAGAAACCTCTCACAGCCACTATAAATATCCTTAAACTCTTTTAAACCTCATTTGACGCTGAGAGCATCCGGTGGTAATAACTCTGTTCCCCATCAGACGCTGGGAGTGCCCGATACCAGTGGCAACTGTTTCGTTTCATGGGGTTATAATGAGACATAGTGCGCCAGGTTCAGGTGACTGCAGAAAAAAAACTCAGGGAAACGGTGGAAATAACTCATGGTCTAAAGAGTTAATAAATACAGTTGAAGCTGCCATAAAAAAAATACCCTTTTCAAGACAGAAACCTGTCTGGACAGAACCTCCTTGCTCCCCCCTCGAAAAATTCCTCAAAAGAAAAAAATGTCTGTATTAAAAAAATGAAACCTTCATGATCCAGAAATTGATCCCTTCAAATGTTTTAATGGTCTAAAAGGGAAAATTTAGTCTACTCAACCCTGATTTGACACAAAACTCAAAACCGTTTTTAGTTTGGTTCTTTTTTTTTTACTTTTCCGATCCAGCGGCCATTTGGGTTCCAGCCCTTCGGTCTGTCGATATGGCAAAGAATTGACAGGTTTTAATCAGCTGTGCTTTGTTAGTTTGGTTCCAATGTCACTGGTTCTATCTTTGACACCACACTCTCAGGCAAGGAAGGTGCAGAAGAGGTGCAGTTTGAAGTAGAGCTGGAGTCTGCTCCATTAATCGAAGGCTTGCAAGCAGCAGACAGCTTGCGCCAGAGGCTTGCGAGCAGGCTTGTGCTTTGCTTTGCCTTCCGCGCGCTACCGGGGGGAACTTCCGGTGAGTTGTGACTCGCGGACAGTCTTGCTCTATTCAATGCACTTAAAAATTAATAATAGATCGGCTATTCTTACGATGCAAAGGCAGGTTCTTTTTTAATGTGCACAGGACAAGCGCTTCGTCGTCGCACGCAAAAGACGACCTCAGTTGGATTGCTGACTGTATGGGGAGAAATTTTTACAGAGAACCTCCGTCTTTCTGCTGAGGCATTGTTCCCTCTCAGCCCAGTCTGGCCCTGACATTGGGATGAAGTAGGCTAAGCCCGTCTCCTAAAGGTTCTGTATTATGTCATTGGGAGATTGGGAGTGTAAAACATCTACAAAATAAGCTACATAACATACAATACACTCCCTGGAGTTTTCCATTCTAAGGTAATCTAAATCTACTTGGTTATTACTACCCAGAAACCAAGGTCTCTGTTACTACAATACCACGCTTCCTCTCACTTCATCCACTCGCTCAGCTGATTAACGGCGGGAAGTTAAAAATAGCTTTGGCTCTCTACTTCTCGCACCAAAACAAGAACAGCCTCTCCCTTCCTCTACGGTTAAGAGTTAACACTGCGAGCGGTCTTGCTGCTCGTGCAGCAGCAAGTGGCTTGCCAGGTTGCGAGCAAGTGAAGGGATCAAAAGCAAATCATGGGAGCTAAAAGACTTGCCGGGCAGCGAGCAAGTCATAGGGCACAAAGCAAAACATGGGACTTGCTGTGCTGTGAGCGAGATTTGAGACTTGACGGTCGTCCGCTGCTTGCAAGCCTTCGATTAATCAAGCAGACTCCAGCTCTACCGCGCAGTGACACTGTGAGCTGGGTCTTTCTGTTTCCCCCTCTTTCTTTTTCTGACGCAAGTGGCTTTACGGATTACAAGCAGGGTGGGGAGGATGAGGGGGTCTGAAACGAGTGGCTTCGCGGATTGCTAGTAGTAGGTGTGGACTTGAAGCTAAGGCTATACTAAACTTATATCATGCTAGTGATTTGAGGCTTATGACTTGAACTAGGGGCTTGCGAGCACGAGTGCGTTTGCTACTGGGGTACAGCTCTAGTTTGAAGGCAGTTGATTGTTACCCCACCCATATGAGCCGAGAGAATAGAGAAGTGAAGATGGTCAGAGTGGTATCGCTGTGAAATCTTACAGCTCTGCCTGTCTTCAAACTGCTCAAGTGACACACCAGCAAAGAAACTTTCTGGGAAGCTGAAATGGTAAAATTTGACAATTGCTACCATTATTATGATCATACAGCCAACTGAAAGCAAAGTTTTCCTGAATTGTTGGGAAGGGATGGCATTTGGTCATTGGTTTAATCATAATGTGCAATTACATCGATGGGTGGGGCTATGGGTGGAAACAAAAGAGATGTTCAATGATTTCTGATTTTATTCAATGACACAGTGGTCATAATGACAGTAATGAGGTGCAAGCACTTCACTGACAAAGGTGCGAATGGCAGTAAGAATGATGCATGCCATTAATGCCATTATCGTAGAGTTTATGATCAGAGAGTTGCTAGGATAGTGTTTGTTTATTAGAAGTTTATTATTATTAGATCTCATTTAAGGCTAAATCACATTGTTGGCACGCACACAGAGATTGTAGAAAAAGAAAACCGCCTTACGCCGTGGTACAGCTCCATAACTTAATATAAAGATTAGAACGACACTTTTCAGAAACATTGTCGGTTTTACAAAAGTATATACGGATCCGAAAGAGATATTGTGTTGGCCTTCAGTCATCGAACCTTGTTTCGCTTTCTTTTCTTGATGCTACTTCCGGTAGCCTACCACTATTTTCCGGTTGAGCAAGGGCATGGTGTAGCCTACTTTTGTGTGTGAACAACAGTTTAATTAGAATTCTCTCCCATATCATAAAAAATACGTGGAACATTATTATTATTATTATTATTATTATTATTATT